GCCCGACTAAGCATGATCCCCATTTAACGCTTACGTTAAAAAGAAAAAAAGAAACCCGGATATGATAAACTTTGTTTGTATTGGGTGGGAAAAGTTACTTACGCATATATATATATATATAATCAAATCGACAGTTTCACTGTGAGAAAAAAACAGTGCAGATACTTAAATATATTTTCATCCACGTGGAATGATAATAACGTGAATGGTTTTGAAAACAGTGTTTAACGATTTGTGGGCAACAGTTATTTAGTTTTTAGAATCACCGGTGGAGGGCGCATGAGAACACAAAACCTGTTCGCTGATCCATACTTCGTTGTGAGAAGTCATTTATAGCTTCTCGCGTTACGACACGTAAAGTTCTTTGTGACTAAATTTGTGGTACAACTATTATAATTGCGCAAAGCAGCTTCGTATGTGGTGATAATTCTATGAAAGAAATTGCATCTAATTAGGAGCGTAAAAGGGTTGATGAATAGTTAGAGGGGGGGGCATAAGTGGGTTTTTCTGGTTGCTGAGCGAGGCGTTATTAAAAGGCCTCACTAGATGTTTAATAATTGATATATTTATAATTCCGTCAAAGCGATTAGTAGAAGTGCGTGTTTTCGAATATGATAAAATAAATCAGTCGTGTTTATTTGAAGTTTTCATTAAACGCTGTAGATGCCTTTGAAACACGCGTCTTAAGAAGTAATGTATCGTTTTTCTGTGCTTTTTATGATACAACAGAAACAGCTCCTTAGTCCTTACGAAACATTGTTCACTACATAAAACGTTGGTAAACGACGCCACTAGGGAAATAAATTCCTCTGTTAACAACTTACGTGTTTAATTAAATGAAATTTAAAATAATTAAAATAATCTGTTTCTTTCCGAAAATAGGATCACGTTTATCTTTTTTTTTTACATATAATATACAAGTAATTCAGTTTTTGTAGTGTTGATTTTCTTGTCTCAATACTTTTTCTACCGTTAAAACTTTCTATATTACTATAGCTAGCTAGGTTACGTGTATATATATCGATCCCTACTTGTCTTTACAAAATTTAAAAATTTTCATTTCGCTTGTACACATAAAAAAATATTCACAAGACTTGTACTTACTTAGATTCCTACACGATAGGTTTAGGAAGCCAACTATTTTTCTTCATTGGTTACTAAAGCTTTAGGTGTCTTTCTGTCCATCAAACGCCCTCTACAAATTTATTTTTATGACTTTTGCTAGTTTATTTGTTATTAAACACAAAGCTGCGCAATGGGCTATACGTTCAATTCCCATCGCAGGGATCGAACCAAAAATGTTAGCGTTATAAAGCCTTACTGCTGAGGCACCTGATTATTTTCATGATAATTCCTATATTGTTGTTCTTCAAAATAAAAACACAAATATTAATTTTGCATTTCGCGAATATTTAGAGTGTAATTCAAAAAACGATAAAAATCATTCTTTACGAGATCTTCAGTTGCAGATTTAATTTTTATCTGAAGTTATTTAAAAAGAATATAATTAATATTGAGATTTAGTTCAAATCAGAAGCCCCCTTTTTTTTTAATTCTGAGCAATGGAAACCACACCATTTCAAATATTAAGTTTTCCTCTAATATTCATGTTTACGTGTTTTTTTTATTTTGTTCTTTGCAGACGACGTAATAATTAAACATGAAGCTAATACAGTTTTCCTGCTGGCTTGTAATGGTAAGTGCTTATTTTCATTAATTAAGATGTGTTTCTTTTACACTTGGTCCAACAAGAAAAGAAATGCCTTATCGGTAGCGGTGTACAACAGCTAAAAGGTTATTAGAACACTGAAACAACAGTGTTATACCAGCAAAAAAATAAAAAATAAATGAGGAGATTGAAATTATTACGATTATTGTGATCTAATATTGTGTTTTATTCGAACTCTTAACACAATGTGGGTTCAAATATTATAATTACAGATTCTTCAATCATATAAAATGTAATATGAGTAATACTTATTGAGTAAAAAAATCAATGGAACCGTCTAGACCTCTGTTTAAGCAGCTGTGTATATTAAATATTAAGGAGATGTTTTTTAAAAGTGTATTGATTAGATTGAATAGGCGTCATTTTGTTATCAATAAATAACCAGTAAAAGTGCTGATCAGCAGTAAATTAGGTAAATTTTAGGGTCTACGATAATATATTTTTAAAGAACTTCGCCATTTTGTTCGTACATTTTCAGAAAGAGGTGGAACCATATGAAATGTATTTTGTATGATCGTGAAAATAGTATATATTTTTAACGATCCCTATATAAATTATCATAGGGAATCTTACTTGAAAGCCCACGTATTTTAAAACATTAATAAATTTTAAACCGCTCACAGTAACTAACCTTCAAACAATTCCACCCCCTAAAAAATATTGGTCTAAGTGCCAAGATCCTCTAACTATCCTAATTTGTTCTCGAGTTTTGACAGTTTTTCAAATGTCCAATTAATTACCATTATAATGAAAGCATTTGTTTTTTGTTACCTTCACTTTAGAGCTACGTTCACCAAAAGTTAATAGATATGTCCTTGGGGGGCTCTCACCTTTTCGAATTATTCGGTTCACGGAACAGAAGATAAAACAATACCTCCTGCAGTAGGTCGGAGGTAACAATTTGATAAATACATACATGATCATATTAGCTCTAGGCTTATTGGCCCGAATTATATCGCATTTTTTCGTGTTTCGTTACTAAATATTCCTTTATATGTTTGCAGCTTCCCAATGGTTCAGCGGAAATCTGAGGGTTTGTAACGCTAAAAATCGGGTTTCGATACACGTGGTTGGCACAGCATAGATAGCCTATGGTGTAGCTTTGCGCTCGACAACAATCAAACAAAAATATGTTTGCATCCCACAGAGCTCTAAGACTAATTATGTCAGTATACAATTTGCTGGCGTTATTTATAATTTATCTTTGCCTACAAATAAAATTCAACAGCTTATTGTGTAACGTTATATGTAGCATTCCTATAACGAGTTGGTATAATTTAATAATAATAATAAAACATGTTGTCTAATTCTACGCTAAATACGGAGACAAATATCTTTACACCCAACTGAATGTCCTGTAATGGTTTGTTGAATTTTATTAGGTATGCACAAAGCAAAACTTTATTTAGCACTATCTGAAGTACCCGTCCGTTAGATGGGTGAAATAAAAACTCGGTTATAACAAAGGATAGGAAATTATGCTCCTATTTTTTTTTCTTAACATAATAAATATTAAAAGTGCAGGAAAAATACATTATCAAGTTTGGTGCTGATTAACCAAGAAATGTAGAAACGTATAACTATAAGGAACACATACACACACACATATTGACGTATATTTACATACATATATTCCAATAGACTATAGAGGGATAATGTAACTCTAAAAAATACTGTTCAACACTTAACTACACATAGAGAAAGATCTCATACCTTTACACTCCTTATATTGTCTTCAAATGGTTTCTTGAGCAATTACGTATGCACAAAGCAAAACGTTTGTAAATTGTAGGGATTATTCCCACAAATCAACAGATTCTGACAAAATGTTATTACAATCTGGGTTCGCTTGTTCCTCGTGTTGGCGCGTAATTATAACCACGGAAGTGAGGCCTACACTCCTTCATGTACAAAGAAGCCTAAAAACGTGTAAGAAGTCTACGGAAAGAAATCAATGACACTAATCATAACATGCTGTCTAAGGTGCCGTTGACATTTTCCCACACACATTTGATCTACGGCCTGAGATGCTTGCCCGACTACCTGAAAATTAACCATATTTTAGTTCTTAACACAACCATAAAGTTATGCGTGCGTAGCAGCCGATTGTCAACTACACTTATAAGAATGATATTGTCAAGTTCTTTCCCGAAGGCGCCCTCTTTAAAAACAAGAAGAACGAAATCTCGAGGTATAAACATTTAAAAGTCACAGAACTTGAAGTTTTTATGCAGTGCATCAAAAAACACGCATTGACATAATGATTGTTTTATCTTTACATTGACTTTTTTAAGCCTTGTTGAAGAATACTATGATATAAGAATTAATTATATAAATCTTATATAAGGTGTTAACTATATTTTTAGTTTCAAAGCTTTTCAAAATATACCTGTAGAGAAGACATAAACGCATCGTATGGTAAGAAACATGATCGATAGTTTTCAAACAAAAACATTGAATTTTTCAAATAAAAAAAAATATATATATTTTTTTATTTTTTTTGCAAAAATGTGGAAAATCTTGCTTTTCCGAATACGTTAGAAGCTAAGTTGTAGTTTGTTCAGCACAAAACTACACAGTGGGTTATCTGTGTTCTCTACACCACGGGTAACGTACAGAGAGCCCATTGTGTAGTTTTGCGCTTAACTACAAACAAAACAAATAAACCACAGGTAACGAAACCCAATATTTAGCGTCGTAAGCCTGCCGACTTACCACTGAATCATTGAGAGGTGTCCTAATTATCTTTAAATTACTTAATTAATTAATTTATTTTTGATAAAAGAGTTAGCACAAAGGATCACATATGAAGTGTAATAGACTTAAAATAAGCCCCAAAACTCGAGCGCTTTCGAATAGTCGACTATTCTTTTTCAGGAGAACAAAGGGAACAAAAGGTCTCATATATTAATTTACTCTAATCATGCCTAAAAGATTCTCAACTGCCGCGGCTTTTGAGGATTCCCTCTTGTTTATTTACTGCTAAGGTATTGAGCTTAACTAGTATGTCTGAATGCGTATATGTAGAATAAATAAAAATAAATAGCTACATAGAAAGAAAAGGTTTTCAGTATTTTTCTATATAAATAACAAAACATCGGTCCTTTTCTGTCTTTGTTCTGTTGTTTTTTCTCGTGTATTTTAAGTAGAGATGTTTTAACGGGAGAAAAAAAGCTAAGAGTACAGATGTATAAAACCAGAATAATATTGTCTGTAAATATTATTTATTTTTTGTTTTTTCATGTTGGATTGACAAAGTTTATATTTACAGGTGTTTGTACCAATTGACTTTTCTTCAGCTCAGACTTCAGATGTAAGTCGGCCATCGCCCTCTTTCAGAAGAATGGGTAAGTTTAGTTACAAACAATATTTTATTCCGTACAGTGCGTGATTATTGTTGTTAATCAATTTATGTACAGTGGTACTTAATAGTAGGGATCGTGAGGAAACAAAATGGCGGCCATGAAAATCGTCCGTTTAAAACCACCTTTAAATTGTCTGAATAGTAACTATGACTATTTCACAGTATTGGCTGAGCTAAACTAAAACTTATTGTATTTATAAAGCTGCTTAAATCGCTATATACTTGAATCCAAAATTTCACTATTTCAACGAATTTTCATCTAAGTAGTAAGTGATTTCTACAGATAAGAACATACAAAAAATGAAGAATCTTATCGCTCTAATTCTTTCACAGACCTCTTCCGTCTGGGGTCCTAATTATCATTTTATTGTACCAAAAAAATACACTAGTACACATATATAAAATGGGCGATGCTAAAAGTCTGTACTTGAATGAAAAAAAAAAACAGAGCCGTTCTATCCCTACTTTGGCTCAGACTAACCTAATTACAGTGACTTTCTAAGGTAGGGATAAACAAAAATTACATTTTAAGTAACACAGTTTTTATAGCTAGGTAACGTATATATCGATCTCTACCTGTCTTTATAAAATAAAAACAAAAAAAATTATTATATTTGTAGAGTAATACTTGTTAACGGAATTTTGAAAATGTTCGTTGATATGGGTTAACAATAATTGTTAACGGGTTTAAAATATTTGTTGATTGTCTTTAGTAATACTTGTTAAATGATATTTAATAACGTTTAGCATTTCTTAGTTTTACATTTCTTATTGATAACATTTAACAGTGATGTGCAGAGAACATTGAAAAGGCAGTGAGCTCATTGACAAAAAAGGCGATTTTCAAGTATCGTAGGGAAGTGTTGTTGTTTTCTTGGGAGTGTGTGTGTCAGAGGTTTGTTTGTTTTTGAATTTCGCGCAAAGCTACAAGAGGGCTATCTGCGCTAGCCGTCCCTAATTTAGCACTGTAAGACTAGAGGGAA